CTCTCTCTCTCTCTCTTCCTCTCCCTCCTCTCTCTATAAAGTCAGTAAAGAAAAAAAAAAAGATTAAAATGTTGACAACCATGCCCAATACAAACCTGCTATAACAAAGTTACCTTACAAAGTTGGTACATTCTCATCTTTTAATATTAAAATAAAATGGTGGGGGGTATAGAGCACTATGTTATTTTCTAAGATACTTATAGTCCAGTTCTAGACTAGCTTACAACTATCTTGTAATTTTCATCTAACAATTTTTTTTAATGTTTTCATTGATTATTTTAGAGAGAGGGAGAAAGAGAAAGCTTGATGTGAGAAAGATCGATTGGCTGCCGCCTGCACGAGCCCAAAAATTAGACATGTGCCCTGACCATAAGTTGAACTGGGACCTCTCAGCCCATGGGATAATGCTCAATCCACTGAACCACACCAGCAGGGCTCATCTAACAATTTTTAAATGCACAGAATTTTGAGTTTTCCTTTTACTTCTTAAAATATTTTAATTTACGAGAATAACTAGTAGTTAAAAAACTCTAAATATCATTTACATATAGAAATATAAATCTTGCACATATATTTAGTTGTCTTTATATTAAATATATGTCTTGGCTGGGTAGCTCAGTTAATTAAAGCATCATACCCACACACCATTGTAAAGGACAAACACATGTTATGTAAATGTACAGAAAAGTTTTCCATTAGGCAAACCTTACCCCCTGAATTTTAAGAGAATGGCAAGAACTAGCTCCTAGAGTTAACAGATAACCACTGCATTGTATAGATAACCACTGCTTTGTGTACACCGAAACTGCTTGCTCCCTCAGGCATAACAGCTAACCGCAAATATCTGCTTCTGTAAGTGCTTGCTTGCTTGCTCGCACACCCTTAGCCCAAATTCCTTAACAGGAGCTAAGACAACTATGTAAGTAACCCTCCCCCTGACCTCGGGGCTGCTTTCTCCTCTGCATAGGATGGGACAGTCGCAGCGTGGCTAATAAAGCTCTCTTAATTTGAACCCAGTTCGGAGTCTGAATCTGGTCTATCTCGTTGGTCTACAACACAAGGTTGAGGGTTTGATCCCTGGTCAGGGCACATACAAGAAACAACCAAAAAATGCATGAATAACTGAAATAAATCAAAGTGTCTCTCTCTCTAAAAATAAAAAAAAAATCAATAAACTTTTATATAAATTTCACAGAAATCTCACTCTTCTAGATCTATAATTTTAGAATCTTTCTTCTAATTGAAATTTCCACGAAGTAAAACCAACCAAAAACTGAAAAACCTCTGGATACAGAGTATATCTGAAATGTACATAAATGCTTTTAAAGCCTCAATGCACCAAAGCAGCAATTCTTGTTGTCGTCGTTAGTTTATGTCTTTATTAACCCATATGCAATTACTTGTCTTCCGATCTGTTGACGCAATAGGTCAGACAACATTTGAAACAATAATGTCTGTCAAAGTGGCTGGCCATAAAAACTTCAGCACCACATTAGTTTGAAGGCCACTCTCAACGAAGGTTGAATGATTTTGCCATTTTCATGCACTCTGCAGTGTTTCAGGACAGCCAGCTTAACCTTCTTTTTCTTATGCTTCTCCTTGGGAGTGGTGTAAGCTTCTTCCTTTTCTTAGCACCACTACGAAGTCTCAACACAAGATGAAGAGTGGACTCCTTTGGAATGTTTCAAAGTACGTCAGTCTTTCAGTTGCTTGCCAACAAAGATTAGTCTTCACTGATCAATAGGAATTCCTTCCTTATCTTGGATCTTGGCCTTTACATTTTCTATTGTATCTGAGAGTTCCTTTAGAATGCATGTCTTCCCCCCTAAGGGTTTTCATGAAAATCTGCAACTTGGCTGCGATTCCACTGTAGTTGTGGATGGGAAAGGAAGAGGCCCACAGGGTCTTTCCATCCAAAGCAGCAATTTTTAGATATTACCTCAAAGAGTTGGCCTCAAAGAGTTAGTGCATTTATTTACAGAATAAAAAGAAAGTAAAGGAAAAACCAAATATGTACTTCCCATCAAGTCAATTACAGAAAACTGTCATACTATGACACTGCAATACAATGACCAAAAGATTTAATATGAGGTTGGTTATCCTTTAGGAGAAAAGTGACCAAAGCCCATTCCACCATGGCATAAGGAATTCAGGTCACTGTAAAGGTTTAATAAAAACAAAAACAAATCCACACAGAACAGCATCAAAATACTATCTCGATCTGTACTTCAGAGAGCTGAATTATGAAAATAAAAATTTTCACAGGTTTTCTGGGTATAGTAAAATTAGCTAAAGTCTGTATGTGAGACAGTTTTAGAAACCAGATTTCTAAAACTGAAAACAGAAACTTAGAAAATAGATCTTGTTGGTCCAGACTATGCAATAACTAATTTGTTAAATAACAGGTTAAAACAAACCTAAAGCTTGCTAAATCCTATAATTAATTTAACATTATACTCACTCACCTTAGAAGCTTGTCTTAAAACATCCACCACTACTTTGACTGGTAAGCCTGCTGTGATTTCTTTCATTGCCTCAATGCACCATTTGTATGCCTAAAAAACATACATACAGATATACAGATGTATATATACACATACACACACATATATACATATAATTGAGCAAAAACTGTGATAAAACAAAATGACAATATTTAATGAAATAACTGCGAGTTCTTCCTGCAAGCTTTTAAGTACTTAAATAAGAACATACAAAATATTTACACTTAGCCCTGGCCAATTTGGCTCAACGGTTAGAGCGTCGGCCTGCGGTCCGGAGAGACCCGGGTTCGGTTCCCGCTAAGGGCATGTACCTCGGTTGCAGTTTGTCCTGGGCCCTGGTTGGGTCGTGTGGGTGGCAACCACTCGATGTGTCCCTTTCACGTTGATGTTTCTCTCTCTCTCTCTCCCTCCCACTCTATCTGAACAAAATATCAAAAAATGTCCTCGGGTAAGGACAAAAAAAAAAATATTTACACTTAAAATTTTCTAAGGCTAAGTTCTTTGAATATGTGACACATATTCAGCATTTCAGAGGCATGTTCTCTTCTCTCTTGCCCAGAAGCCTTGTACAGACTGTTTCCTCTGCCTTAGAATACATTCCCCCTTCCCCCACCCTGTTAACCCATCTAACCTGTCCCTCAGGTTTCAATCCTAGACTAGGTTTCCTGTACTTCCTCTCTACTGTACTACTGTAATGCGTACTATTGTATATCTTTTTTTAACATATATTTTATTTCATTTTGTAATGAATTTACTGCAGCCACTGGTTAATAAAATTATATAGGTTTCAGCTGTACAATTCTATAGTACATAATCTGTATATTGTATTGTGTTCACTACCCCAAATCAAGTTTCCTTCCATCACCATTTATCCCCTTTACCCTTTTCCAAATTCCCCTCACCCCTCTTTGCCTTTGTTAATCACATCCCCCTACTCCCCTTCCCCTCTGGTAATCACCATGTTGTTGTCTATGTCTATGAGCTGTTACTATTTTATATCTTAATTGCCTGTTCAGTTGAGTGCCACCTATTTTCCAAAGACTTTATGTGCATAAACACATTTAATTGACACAACAGTCCTATGAAATATGTAATATTACTATGGAAAACTGAGGTGCAGAGAGGTTAGGTGCCAGGCAGTGTGCTAGTATCTAGTGAGAAACAAAATATAAAATGATCCTCCTCTCCTAATGCTTAGTGGGAGAAAGAAAAAGTGTAGCCATAACGTTAAGCAGAGCCAGAGATCCCCAAGACAGGCTATAGCATGAATGTAAAATGAACTTACATTGTTCCAAGCCACTGCTATTTTGGGGTTGATATTACCTCAATAAAGGCTAGCCTGCTCTAATTAATATCAGAATGTATATCTATAGATATCATTGACAAATTTATTTATATTTAAAATGAACTATCAAAAGGGGGACATCTGTAACACTTTCAACAATAACAACAAAAAACTATCAAAATTATCCAAGAAACATCTATAAACATATGGCACAGCATAAACTCCCAACTCAAACATAGGGGGAAAAAATTACTGTCAATTAAATAGTAGCTGCCTAATAAAGAAAGTGAAAACTGGTAAATAAAAGGTACTTTGTTCCACTTACTATACTAAAATGGGCCTGGGACTGAATATGGGAGTAAAGAATGGCAAGATTAGCCTGGCCGGTGTGGCTGTTTAGTTGAGCATCGACCTGTGCACCAAGAGTCGCTGCCCTGCCCGGGATGAGGGCTCGATGCCCAGTAGGGGTTGTGCAGGAGACAGGCGATCTATGTTGATGCTTCTCTCTCATCTATGTTTCTATGTCTCTCCTCCCCCTTCCTTTCTCTCTAAAAAAGCCAATAAAAACATTTTAAAAAGGTCAAGATTTGAATCACTCTATAAAACACAAGAACAGAGTAGAGTTCTAGAGTATGAAAAATAAGGATGAAAAGAAATGATGAGCCCTGGCCGGTTTGGCTCAGCGGTTAGAGCGTCGGCCTGCGGTCCCGAAAGACCCCGGTTCGGTTCCCGCTAAGGGCATGTACCTCGGTTACAGTTTGTCCCCGGCTCTGGTCAGTCATGCGGGTGGCAGCCACTCGATGTGTTCCTTCACGTCGATGTTTCTCTCTCTCTCTGTTCCTCTCTCCCCCTCCTACTCTACCTGAACAAAAAATGAAAAAATGTCCTCGGGTGAGGATAAAAAAACAAAAAAAAAAGAAATGATGAAAGAGGCACCAGAGATGACTGAGTTCCTATGTAAAGATATAAAAACATGGTGGGTCATCTGAATTGCTTTTAAGATAGGCATTTCTAATGTTCAAACTGTTGTTGTTTACCTCTTTCGTTTCCAGTAAATAGGCTATTCACACAAAGGCCTTCTGTGAATGGAGTTCTTTTTCTTTGTTTTAGGTGTATGAAAATCATGGAAAGGGTCCAAGCTCTATACCTACATCAACAAGCTATGGAACGCACACTGCATGCTGCACACACCCATCAAAAAAACTAATTCAGTGCTTGCTTTGGCAGCACATGTACTAAAATTGGAATGACACACAGAAGATTAGCATGGCCCCTGTGCAAGGATGATACACAAATTCATGAAGCGTTTCATATTTTTATCCTTTGAGATGACATGGATGAGCCTGGAGAGCACTATGCTAAGTGAAATAAGCCAATCAGAGAAAGACAAATACCACATGATCTCACTTGTAGAATATAATTAAACAAATAAGCTGATGAAAAAAATACAGACCCAGAGACATAGAAAGGAGTACGGTTCAGACCAACAAACATCAGAGGAGGGGAGGCGAAGGGGATAGATGAGATAAACCAAAGAACTTTTACGCATGCATGTGTAACCAATGGACATAGACAACGATGCTGGGGGGGAGGGCAGGATGAGAAGGGAAGTGTCTAAAGGGGAAAAAGGAGAAACTGTAACAAAAATAAATTAATAATAATAAAAAAAACTAATTCAGAAGATAGAGAAGTTCAGCATCAGAAATATTCAGATGAGCCCTGGCCGATTTGGCTCAGCGGTTAGAGCGTTGGCCTGCGATCCGGAGGGACCCAGGTTCGGTTCCCGCTAAGGGCAAGTACCTCGGTTGCAGTTTGTCCCCGGCCCTGGTTGGTCGTGCGGGTGGCAGCCACTCAATGTGTCCCTTTCACGTTGATGTCTCTCTCTCTCTCTTCCTCCCACTCTATCTGAACAAAAAATGGAAAAATGTCCTCGGGTGAGGATAAAAAAATAAATAAAAATAAAATAATCAGAAGAGTCCGGCCAGTGTGGCTCAGTGATTGAGCATCAACCCATGCATCAAGAAGTCACCGGTTCAATTCCCAGTCAGGACAGTTATGGGCCCGAATCCTCAGCGGGAGGCATGCAGGAGATGGCCAATCGATGTTCTCTCTCATCGATATTTCTATCTCTCTTTCCCTCTCACTTCCTCTCTCTCCAAAACCAATAAATGAACAATAATAATCAAAAGAACATACATAAACCACCTGAGAAATTACAGGCATGCTGATAAAAATTTTAAGTTTTTATAAATGGGTTCAATGTCTTCTTATATAGATATTGAAAGTAAGAGGAGCACTGGAGTTGCATAACATCACTGTATCTATTCTAGAATGTTCTAGTTTTACTTTTAATTGTAATTTTCCTTTAAATGTGGAATATATATTAATGGGGCAAAAATCAAGATAAGAATAATTTTAAAATATGAAAGCTAAATGACAGCATGAAATTATGATATTCTTCCATAAATAAAGCAACCAAGTTAATAAATAGATCACTTCTCAATTATGTATTCATTACCACTAAAGCATTAATTTAGAGTATAAAGGCAGGAGTGAAGCTATCTTTCTCATAAGGCAGAGAAAGGAGCAAAACAATGCAATAAAGTAGAAATAAAAACTAGCTTCCCACTGAAATGAATGCTTTCAAATGATGAGAGTTGACCCAGAGCTACATATCCAATAAAAAGCATCTCCTGAAGGTCTATTTAGCAGAGCATGCCCATCAAAATAACCTAGGTGAAATACATTTGGTCAAATTAAAAACAAAACAGGCCCTAAATCATACATGTATATGTTGAAAACCCACTTCACAGAATAAATCTTTTGCCTGATTTTAAATATTCCATTGCAAATTTGTCTATTAAGACAAATACAAGAGTATATGATTTATCCTGTTTTATATAAATACTTACTGGTCACAGTGAAATGCACTTCAAAATACTCACCTCATCATAGTGACTTTTTGCAAATAGGAGTGCACACAGTTCTCCATAGAGTGCAGCTTTGTTTGCTTGCTGGCCATGTTTTGAGAGTTTATCCATGTATGTCTGAGCTAACTTAAATGTTTCTTCACCCAAATGATATTTACAGTTTCCATTTCTCACATGAAGTAACCTGCAAAGCACAATAACATTCCTCTATTTTTTATACTTCCAGCATAGCTGACCTGATAATCTTTTTTTTTCTTTTTTGGTGGTACGTGCCACTAGTGGGAACCGAACCCAGGACTCTCTGGTCCTCAGGCCGATGCGCAACCGCTGAGCCAAACTGGCCAGGGCTGACCTGATAATCTTTATAGATCATTATGTAGCACCCAAATGATTTAAGGTTAACTATATATAAGAAATGAGATGGCATTGGAAAACAGTTCTGTGGTCAAGCTGAATTCAACTAATGCATATGAAGTGTATGCTCCTACTAGAAAGCTACTCATGATTAATCTATTGCAACTTTGATTCCTTATGTTCTCTAAATATTTTTGGGCCCGGCTGGTGTGGCTCAGTAATTGAGCATCAACCCATGCACCAAGAGGTTGCCAGTTTGATATTTGGTCAGGGCACATGCTCAGGTTGTGGGTCAAATCCCCAGTGGGGGTATGTGAGAGGTGGCCAATTGATGGTCTCTCTCATTGATGTTTCTATCTCCCCTTTTCTCTTCCCCTCTCTCTAAAATCAATAAAGAAAAAAATTTAAATGAAATTTTGGAAGACAACAAGAAAATAAAAATCAATGTAAAATACTATTACCTATCATTACCTTCCATTCTTTTATCTAATATATTTGGGCAACACTTGATCAGTTACCACTCATTTCATGTTGCTTCACAAATGCTCATTTTTGTTTATCTTTCCAGTAATACAAGTTCATTAAAAATAGTGGTATTTTCAGATGTTTCCTTTATAACCTTTATCCAGAGTTCTTTTTTTTTTTTTTTTTTTTTTTAGTATTTTTTCTTTATTGATTTGAGAACATCAATTGGCTGCCTCTTGCATGCCCCCCACTGGGGACAGGGCCCACAACCTGGGCATACGCCCTGACCAGGAATCGAACCGGCAACCTCTTGGCGCATGGGTCCATGCTCAACCACTGAGCCACACCAGCCAGGCTATCCAGAGTTCTTTACACAAAGAAACTGTACAGCCCTGGTCAGTGTGACTCAGTGGTTAGAGCAATGGCCCGCAGATCAGAGAAGCAGGGTTAAGTTCCCGCTAAGGGCATGTACCTTGGTTGCAGTTTGTCCCCGACCCCAACTGGGACCGTGTGGGTGGAAACCACTTGATATCTCTCTCTCATGTCAATGTCTCTCTCTGTCTCTTCCTCCCTCTCCATCTCAAGATAAATGCAAAAATGTCCTCGGGTGAGGATAAAAAAAAAGAAAGAAACTGTAGAACTATGCTGACTATCTAATGTGATGCAAGAGTAGTGAAACACTTTAGGTCATACTGAGGTGTAGATAGCAATGACAGACATACAAGAGAGAAGAACAGTGTGAGGACTGGACATCTATTTATGTTTCGACTATAATGCTGGCTAGAACTTTATGTCCATGTATCGTGCCAATACAATTTTCTGAAAATGGTCAGCCCTGAGAAGAAACAAGGTATAAAAATCACTTTAAAAAACAAACAAACCTAAGTATAGAGTGGTTAGGGAGCATTCTTCAGGAGTATTAAAAAAAAAAAGATACTTAAAATGTATTTATTAATTTTTAAAAAACATGTTTTTATTGAGCCCTGGCCGGTTTGGCTTAGCGGTTGGAGCATCAGCCTGCAGTCCAGAGAGACCTGGGTTTGGTTCCCGCTAAGGGCATGTACCTTGGTTGCAGTTTGTCCCCGGCTCTGGTTGGTCGTGCAGTGGCAGCCACTCGATGTGAACCTTTCACATCAATATTTCTCTCTCTCTCTCTCTCTCTCTCTCTCTCCCCCCCACTCTATCTGAACAAAAAATGGAAAACTGTCCTCGGGTGAGAATAAAAGAAAAAAAATATGTTTTTATTTATTTTTTTTTAGGGAGAGAAAGAGAAACATCGATGTGAGAGAGAAACATTGATCAGCTGCCTCCTGCATGCCCTTTACTGGGGATTGAGCCTGCAACCTAGGCATGTGCCCTAAATCAAACTGGGACCTCTCAGTCCATGGCACAATGTTCAATCCACTGAGACACACCTGGCAAAATTACTGTTTGATTGGTTAAAGCAGTTACTGTTTGATTGGTTAAAGTACTCATTGTTTGAAATGGGAAAATACCAAACTGCATTCCATAGCAGCTGCTCAATTTTACATTCCCATAAGCAATTCACAAGGATTCTAATTTTCCCCCATTTTATGTTTTTTTGTTGTTGTTCTTTTTTTGCATTTATCTTCCGATAGAGCAGGAGGGAGATAGAGGGAAGAAGAAAGAGAGAAACATCAATGTGAGAGAGACACATTGGGTGGTTGCCAAACACAGGACCCCAACCGGAGCGGAGGACAAACTGCAACCAAGTTACGTGCCCTGAGTGGGAACTGAAGCCGGGACTCTCCGGTCCCAGGGCCGATGCTCTAACTGCTGAGCCAAACTGGCCAGGGCTTTTTTTTTTTTTTACAGTCCTCCTGGTAGGTGTGAAGTGGCATCTCATTGTGTTTGACTTGAATTTCTCTCATGACAAATGATTCTGAGCATCTTTTCATGTGCTTACTGGCCATTTACATGTCTTGTTTAAAGAAATGTGTAGTCAGTGTTGAAGAAAGAAATTGAAGCTACAAATAGAAAAAAATATATACCATGCTGATGGATAGAAAGAATTAACATTGCTAAAATTAAAATGTCCATACTACCTGCACTGACCAATTTGGCTCAGCAGTTAGAGACTCAGCCTGCAAATCAGAGTTGCAGGTTCAATTTCAGTTAAGGGTGGTTCATCCCCAGCTCTGGTTGGGGTCATGAGGGAGGCAACCAGTCGATGTGTCCCTCTCACATCTATATTTCTCTCTCTTTCCTTCTCACTCTCTCTCCCTCCCTCTCACTCTATCTGAAGATAAATAAAAAAATATCCTCGGGTGAGAATTAAAAAAAGAATAAAACATGTCCATACTACCTAAAGTAATCTATAGAATCAAAGCAATTCCTATCAAAATACCAATGTAATTTTTCACAGAATTAGAACAAATAATCCTCAGCCTTATATAGAACCACAAAAGACCCCAAATAGCCACAGCAATCTTGAGAAGGAAGTACAAATTGGTGGAATCACTCCACCTGGTAACAGCTTTACTACAAGATTATATTTATCAAAACAGAATGGTACTGGCATAAAAACACATGATCAACAAAACAGAAT